TGTATGCAACTATTTCACTGTATGAAACACATTATTTAAGCATTGTATGAATCTGGTTTACTGTATTACTCTGTATTTCTTAACTAGATGAACATGTATTTCTTCATTGTATGAATCTGTTTCACAGTATTTATTCACATGTGTGAATCTGTTTCATATTATGAAATTGTATTAACCTGTCATCTTCATTGTATGCAACTATTTCACCGTTTTATATTTAAAAACAATTGATTTACACATTCCATATAAAATGTTTCTATATTTACGTTTCCATATTTAAAAATAATTAAATCATTTACAAGATTAACTATTATATAGTAAAATAACAATTATACCCTTACTTATTAAAATTAAAGAATAAAAAACGAAAATTTCCTATTGGTCGAGAGTGGTTTGCATTATTTTCACAAATCAGACAGTTTGTAATCTAACCCGCCTTTATACACACACACACACACACACATATATATATATATATGTGTGTGTGTGTGTGTGTGTGTGTAAGGGTTTAAATCAAAACATCCTTGTTTTACAAAAACACAAGAACACTTCAGGATCTCCAAATTAATTTACATATGATAAAAGTTATAATAAATGAAAATTAATTAGTAGTTATTCATAATTTTCTATTATCTTAGATTTATCTTTATTCTTAAATTTTGTTATTATCATCGGAGACTTTTATGTTGATGCGTCCGTTGTCGATAATGATGTGATAACACTGTGATAATTATCTGATTTTGTGATGATAATAGTGATAATGATTTGATAAGTTGGAGACTTTTTATGATGTGATAAACATCTAGTAGTTATATGATTTTTGTTATGATTGCGATGTGATAATTTTGTGATAATCAAAAACCACTAATGATCACGTATATATTCATCACCTTGTCTGTTCATTATGTGATTTACTGTAATAATAATATGATAATATTTTTATACCAATTAACATATTATCTGTATGTGATTTTAAAGATATGGATGCCACAAAAATTACAGATAAATAAGAAATCACATTATTATCCTTAATTAATTAGTTTATTTTCTTTTAACTACAATTATGGGTTAAATATATTTGAGGCCCATAAATGTTAACAGAAGTGTTCTCGTTTGAACCTTCACCTACACACACACATAGGTTATTTTGAGAAGTGATAAATATTTGAGAAATAAAAAAAGTGATTTTAACCCTTTATACGGTTAAAATCGAATTTGACTGGTCAAAATTTATGGCTATACAGAAGATAAAGAGAGTAGTTTTGTAACTTTTACAAATAGCCAGCAAACAGATTCATATGTGAACCTGTGTAATCCACATAAGAACTATATTTCATATGTGAACATGTATGATTCACATAAGAACTATATGATCATATGTGAACTATTTTAACTGACTCACATATAATCATGTGTGATTCACATATGAATTAATGAACCCATTCACATATGAACCCATGGATTCATATGCGAATCAGTTAAAATAGTTAACATGTGAACTAATTAACGGGTTAACATATAAACATATAGTTCATATATGAATCACATAAGTTCACATATGAACCCATTTGTTGCTTATTTGTAAAAGTTAAGAAACTACTTATTTATTATTCGCATACTCATGCGAAGAATTATCCAGTACTTCACAGTCAAAGCCACAAATATTGACCAGATGAAGGGTTATGATCATTTTATTACTTCTCAAATGAACCTTTTCCTATATCAATAATTAAATATAAATCCAATAAGTATTAATTATTAATTGGGAACACCAATCTAGACCATTTAGTAAATTTAATTTTTTAAGTTATGATTATCATATTATATGTTTTGTTCTTGTGTGTATTTCATTATACAAACGTGTTTTTGTGTTTTCTGCATACACAAGAGAGTTCTTACAGTTTTTTTTATATGAAACAACATTGTATGAATGTTGCAGCTTTGATTTAGGTATAAAACAACACATGAAAACCGGTTAGTAATTTATTTATTTTTTCATTTTGTATAACTAATTGACAAATGAGTAAATAATTTGTAAGGCATGAAGCTCCTATCGAGTATATGATGTCGCAACTTAACATGTGTAAGAAACTTATGAGCTGTTTACTAAACACTTACTTGGTAAGTACTTATCGAATAAATTCCCTCATCGGATGAACATGGGAAGAGTCAAGAATCTTACCGAGTAAGAGCGATGAGAATGATGGAGAGTCTTGCCCGGTAAGTGAGGATGACGACTCTTACCCAGATAATCGCTTAACTTGTTGCATTCGATATGTTTTGATATATACTAAAATCTTACGTATCAAAATAAATCATAGCGTTGAGTTCTATCGGTAAGCGCTTACCGGATAAGCAATTGGGTAAACGGCCCCTAGAGATCGACGAGTCTAAATGTCAAAACAAAAAAGCAAATAGCTTTAAAATTTGTTCTAAATGAATGAAAGAAACCAAGAAAATGATAACCATAAAAATAAAAGTCATATTGATGATGGGTATTTCCACCATCATTCTTGAATGATCCAAGTTTCATGCATCGTCACACACTACTTTCTAACGTTGCAAGATACAACAAACATAATCATTACTGAGATACTATCACCACCATACTATTTGTTTGTTTGAGTTTTAAGATGATTTGTAACCGTAAGTGTAGGTGTCATAGCATATGGGTCGAACACGGGAAGATAAGGGATTAAGCATAAATTACTCACGGTATTTGCGACATCAAATGTTGGATTAATGCTAGAAATCAAATAACACGACTAATCACTTACGTTATACTAAACATAACTAAATTAAGAATCAAACAAGGTTAAGGGGACGTTTATCAAACACTTACCCGATAAGTGTTTACCAGTACAATTTACCACTATCATTTATTTATTGGGTAAAATTTTAGTCCACCAAAAAGATATTGTATGCAACAATTTACCTGGTAAGCGCTCACCGTGGTAAGAGTTGTCACCCTCACTTACCGGATAAGACTTTTGGTCCTTGTCTTGCTCCTACCGGGTAAGATTCTTGGTTCTTACCATATTCATCCGATAAGATAATGTGACTTAATGTTCACTTACCCAAGTAATTGTTTGGTAAACGGCCTCTAAGTAAACTCACGAAACTAAGGAGCAAGTAAAACTAAATTCATAACTAAAACAAGAATCGAAAGATACACTAATTAGCACTAACAACTTAAATTGAAAGACATTGAAATGATAACGTGTTCTCGCATTTTCTCTCTCTCTCTCTCTCTCTCTCTCTCTCTCTCTCTCACACACACACACACACACACACACCCATATATATAATGGCGTAAGGCGTGGCGTGGAGGCAGAGTCAAACATTAAGCTTTAGGAGCCACCATGAGGTCGTGAAAATTTTCAAGGCGTGACTTATGAGCAAATCTCTATTTCATATAAATTATTATGCATATAAACATATATTTACTACTATATATGTGAAACCAGTCTGTTTTCGTGAGACCCGTGAGACCACTTGTTTACATTTGAAATTTTACAGCAAACTCTGTGAAGGTAACCTTCACAGTGTTTTTCTTGTGAAGGTTCGACTTTTTTTACATTCACAGTGTTTTGCTGTGAACCTATCTATTACAGTGGTTATACCCAAACATACATAAATACATTTTATCATACAAATATGTATTGATTCTATATATCATTACCGTTGTCATGATACTTGACTCCATACATGTCGGCTGTCGTGAAAACGTTTTCAAGCATTACATATCTTTGAAATACTAAACATGCATAAGAGCTTTAAAACACTTGATTTTAGGTTGTAGAGAACAAACACACTCATACAACTATTGGCAAAAAAACCCTGGTTATATATGATTTTATTTACAAACACAACCATTAGTACAAACAATACAAATCAATCTCAAGTATTCATCTAATATAATGGATATCTCGATTGTTTCCAAATATATATATATATATAATAAATGAATTCTGATAAATTTTCATAAATATCCAAATTATAATAAATAAAACCATCATTTCTATAAATATCTCAATTAATTGACTTGTATGGTATCTCCTCTCTCTCTCTCTATGTGTGTGTATATCCTTGTTTAGAAAATCACATGATACTCAATTGGTTTAAACTTAACCTCATATTTTTGCATACTTTCGTTTCGCATCTTGCTTAGAACTTGTATGTCGACTTCGTATATTCATTATAATACCGTCACTTGGCTTTTTACTAGTATCTTCTACTTTGAGAAACACTTTTCTACTTAAAATAATGACTAAAAATGCTCTAGTTGCTTTGCTATTTGTAGTGAGATAAAAGCAAATTTGCAAGCTATTTACCTGTCTGATAGCTGCAAGTTTAGTTTAAGCTATGTACATGTCCACGCGTTACAAACTAGCTATTTTTTATTCAATATTTTCGATCAAAACATCACATCAAACAATAAAACTTATAATTCAAACTATTTATTTAATTGAATATATCTTTTGTCCATTTAACATGTATCATCTAAATCAGACGGTTGCAACATATCCAAAATAGAACCAGAGCTTTTCTACAAAATTGCCGATCAATTCATGTGATCGTTGCTCTTTCGTTAAACTTTTGCAAGAATAATTTGTTGTTACAACTGCTTTTAGAACACATGCATCTATATCTGAAAAACTTCAAAACAATTATAACTGATAATATAGATTCTAAACATTCTGATCTAGATGTTAATGAGTCGAATTATAGGAAATAAAGATTTGAGGGATGGATGGTTAGGAGAAATTGTTGAAGAATGATAAAAGGAGGACTTATTTTGTGAAAAATATTTTTTCAGGGTTAATATTTGCAATATATCATAAACCTCGGGGGTTTTAGGTAGAAGAGACTTAAATTGCATCTCTTTTTCAGATAGAATTTATCGACACGAACACAGAGCTCACCCTCCTCACGCACACTATAAAAACCCTTCGAGGTTGCAGCTATGGTGATTCATCCCCACCTTCGTTTACTGAAGAACCATTGTTTTATCTTCTCTCTTTCTTTATCCTAATTTGAATTTGGTGGAGAAAATACGACCCACAGATTGAGCTTGAAGAAGAACACTTCCCTGCAAAACTACCATTCAAATTCCATCAAATACCGGTAATATGGGCTCGTCGTCGGCGGAGAATTACGATGAACGCTGGAAAGACGTATGGAACGGTTCTTACCGTAAAGCTGCCGACACTTCTGCTAATGAAACAGAGCTAACTGAAACCTACTCTACAGCCGACCTTGAAAATCAAAACAAGTTTGATTCCACGACGCTCCGTACGCCGTCTCCTCCACCTCCACGGTCATCGGAGTTATCAAGGCTCACAGAGAGTCCAAATAGCTACATCCAGCTCACCCCAAAAGAGGTACGAGTTTCGTTTCATGACGAAGTGACTGACCACCAACCGGTTCGGCAGCGGTCCAATGCTAGCGGCCGCAGCGGCGGCATTGGTCGTGGTGGTGAAGATGTGGTAGTTTGTTCTTCAAATGCTGCATTTAAGAGAAATTCGACTTTGCTGAGAACAAAGACGAAATCGAGGTTGATGGACCAACCGGAGATTGACCAGAGATCATCGCAACAAAAAACACCAAAAGCATCAGGGGTTCAAGGGAAAGGTGGTGATAACATCGAAGAAGATGATATCTTCTTGGATGATGATTTGCCAGATGAATACAAGAATTTGAGGTATAACAAATGGACTTTACTTCAATTAACCAGTCTGATATTAATCATTACTGCTTTAGCTTGCACACTTGCAATCCCAGATTTCAGAAACAAAAGCTTGTTTGATCTCGAATGGTGGAAATGGGAGGTTATGATCTTAGTTGTGATCTGCGGTCGTTTGGTTTCTGGGTGGGGGATTAGAATCATAGTGTTCTTCATCGAACGAAGCTTCTTGCTTCGAAAACGAGTTCTTTATTTCGTATACGGATTAAAGAAAGCAGTTCAGAATTGCATTTGGTTGGCTTTGATTCTATTCGCTTGGCAACTAATATTCAACAAGAAAGTCGAAAGAATGACCTACGGGAAGAAGGTTTTGCCATATGTCACCAAGATTTGGGTATGTCTTTTGGTGGGGACTGTGGTTTGGCTATTGAAAACCTTGCTGATTAAAGTTCTTGCTTCAAATTTCCATGTGAGCAAGTTTTTCGACCGGATTCAGGACTCGTTATTCAATCAGTACGTGATTGAAACGCTCTCCGGGCCACCTATGATCGAGATTCAGCAAGAACAGGAGGAAGAAGATAGAATGATAGCCGAGCTTGCGAACGCTGGGGTGGCATTTTCATCCCAAATTAAGGCAAATATCTTCAAGGGTTGGAGAGCCATCGGGACTCCGAGAACCAGTACTCCCATGGATGCTAAAAACGAAGCTACTAAGAAACACGATGAAGGGATTACAATCGATCATTTGCATCGATTGAATCAGAAGAACATCTCTGCTTGGAATATGAACAGAATGATGAATGTTATAAACACAAGCATGTTATCGACTTTAGATGAACAATTGCAGGATATAACTGGTGATGAAGAAGATGAAGCTTCTGTGCAGATAACCAGTGAAACCCAGGCCAAGATTGCAGCCAAGAGGATATTTTCCAATGTTGCAGAGCCTGAATCCAAGTAAATTTCCAAAATTTTCATATTATTTGATCTTCATTTCAACTTGTAAGAACCCATTATCAGTTTGTAGTTTATGCCCATTTTAATTTGTTTTCTTTCAGACACATTTATCTTGAAGATTTGAGGCGATTTTTGCCAGATGATGAGGCTTTGAGGACAATTCGACTCTTTGATGAAGCCAGCGAGACCAAAGGAATCAGCAAACGAGTTCTCAAGAACTGGGTGGTATGTGTCGCTACAACAAAATTGGTTTTACGGGATGTCCAAATACGTTAGGATCACCAATTGTGTCATGTTATATATTTAAGTTTTATAAAACAGTCTATTAGAACATTCAGATATATTTGATATGTTTTGCAACCGATTTTGTTGTAGTGTGTTTTTCTCTCAGGTATGCTTGATTTTGATATTGTTAACGAAGGTTTGATTTTGATCCTTGATTGTGTAGGTTAATGTATTCCGAGAGCGTAGAGCTCTTGCGCTATCACTCAACGACACAAAAACGGCCGTAGACAAACTCCATCAGATGTTGAATGTGGTTGTCGGAATCGTAATAATCGTGATTTGGCTTCTAATACTTCGAGTCGCAACCACCCATTTCTTCATATTTTTAAGCTCGCAGCTAGTTTTGGTAGCATTTGTGTTTGGAAATACATGCAAGACCACATTCGAGGCCATTATTTTCTTGTTCATAGTTCATCCGTTTGATGTCGGCGACCGTTGTGAAATCGATGGTGTTCAGGTCAGATTTCAATCACTTGGAACCAGCATTCGTTAAATTTTTGTTTTTGGGTCGTAACTTTGGATCGATGGTATGCAGATGATTGTCGAAGAAATGAACATATTAACAACGATCTTCTTGAGGTATGACAATCAGAAAATAGCATATCCCAACAGTGTCCTGGCCTCTATGCCCATCGCTAATTATCATCGTAGTCCCGATATGGGCGATGCCATCGATTTCTGTATTCACGTATCGACTCCTCCAGAAAAGATCACTAAAATGAAGGAGAGAATTACTAGGTACGTAATAATCAAATAATAATTTTACCCTTAATAATAGTTGGTTTTCTTCATTTCATATTTTAGAATAAAATTGGAAAGTAGACAGGACAAACTAAAATAGAAATATAGACACAGCAGTAATAAGTTTGGATGGTTATGGTTGCAGCTATGTGGAGAACAAGAGCGATCATTGGCAACCTGGACCGATGATAGTGATGAGGGACGTGGATGACTTGAATCGGCTCAAGATATCGATATGGCTTTCGCACCGAATGAATTTCCAGGACATGGGTGAACGATGGAAACGACGAGCACTTCTATTGGAGGAATTGATCAAGATTTTTAAAGATCTCGACATCGAGTACCGCATGCTCCCGCTCGACATCAATGTCCGCAATGTTCCCGGCTTGGCTTCAAGTCGGCTTCCCTCGACTTGGACAACTTGTGCAAACTAACCTTCTTCTATGGTATCAAGTATTTACTAAAAAATCATACTAGGCAATAATTAAGATGATTTTTATACACTTAAAAAATATTGTGACATTGTGAATAAACAGAAGAGATGGTTATAATCCTTGTACTTGGATTCACTTTATTATAACGCATGGAGTAATTAAATATGGATTATTATTATTATTATTACGTAATTAAAAAAAACGTGTTTATTTAATATCTGAAGATTAAATGAATTATTATTTATGAATTGTGGTTCTTTGAATTTTATTTATCGTCCATTTATTTTGTTGATTCAAGAATGAAACAGAACTTTTTAATGGAAGGTGTTTTTTTTAAATATACTGTAAATATGTAAATTATAAACTTCTTAAAGTTAACACCATCAGTTAACAACCGTTATGAAGGACTAATCACTCTTTAGGCAAACTATAAGAACCAAAAGTGTAATTCTCTCTAAAATTTATCCTTTTTTTATTATTAAAATATATTTTATATATTTTTACTGAGAAAAATAAAATATTTTATGTATCCAATCACAAATCAAATCATTTAAATTTAAGTATATGTTAAATAAAAAAATTGTATTTATTTCAAAACTATTAAATTGACAAAATGACTTTTGCTTTAGAAAGTCTGAAGTTTAAAAAATGGGTGGTTCTTGTGGTTTGCTCAAAGTACTAGAAGTAAAATACGGTTAACATGAGATAATTATATATTAAAATTTGTTCGTTAAGATAAATAGTTTTGTTAAAAAAATAATCATGTTTAAAAGTTAAAATATTATGAGACATTATTAAACTGAATTATCAAATAATTATGAATAAACTATAACTAAATTGATATAATAATCAAAATATTATTAAAGAGATAATGACTTGAAATATTTCATATGGTTCTTAGAATAAAAAAATGTTAATATATCGTGACGTTTTATATTTTTGGACAAAACACGTTTTTTTAGAGTTTCTTATATAATTAACCATTATTCTTGTAGGATTTTGTGGCAGTTTTTCTTAATTTCTTGAATGATCAGTGTTTTTTAATTCTAATTTATAGTTTTTTATTTTTATTTTTATTTTTATTTTTATTTTATTATTATTTTAATTATTTATAGTTTGACTATATATAAATAATTTCATGTTAACCTTACTTGATTTGTAATATTTTGTTTGTATATTTCAATCTCAACCGAAAAGTATGTGAATTTTTCCTGAATTCTTTTATTTTATTAAATTTAGGATTTTCTAATGTAGAAGTCATTTTATTAATTTTTAAATAAATATAAAGATCTTATTTAATATTTATATTTAATTTAAGAAATTTGATATTTACTTTAAGTTAAAAATTTTGATTTATGATTGGTTATATAAAATATTTTTTAACTAAAGAATTTATTTAAAAGGACGTAAATCACAAATTATTTAAATTTGAGATATTTTAACGTAAAACCTATTTTTTTAATTTAATTTCTTTAAATAAATATAATGATAATGTATATTTTAATTTAAGAAATTTAATTTGTGATTTAATATATAAAATAGTTTTAATAAATTTTTCATAAGTGAATGCAAATGAATTTAAAGTGAATTACAGTTTTGGTCCCTTTGGTTTGTTTAAATATTAATTAGTCCCTCATAATAGTTATTAACTAACGATGTTAAGTCTAGAACCTTGAGTGTTATGAAACTGAAAAGTCAGAGACCATCAGTGTAGATAGTTTGGATCAAATCCAATATTTAAGCAAACCACAGGGACTATCAACATAATTCACTCAAAATTATACCATAGTGTTTATTATCTCCTTGCTAGCTAGTTTATTTTTGGGAAAATTGCATCAAAATGGAACCAACTTTCACCTGATTCCTATTTTGGGGAATCAACTTTCAAAATCATCATTTTGGGGAACCAACTTTCACTTGATTTTTATATTGGGGAACCAACTTTCACCTGATTCCTATTTTGAGGAACCAACTTTCAAAATCGTCATTTTGGGGAACCAACTTGSAYCTGATTCCTATTTTGGGAAACCAACTTGCAAAATAATTATAGAAAAATAACTAAAATTCATTTCTTTTCAAAAATTAATGCAATAAAATATATTTTTCATTACAAATCTCGTTTTTTTAAATTCAGATATCAAATTGAAGATTTTTCGAAAAAAATCCAAATTACCACGATAAAAATTGTTTTTTACTAATGCAATAAAAAATCAATTTAATAAAAAAAATTAATTGATGCAATAAAAAATAAATATTAAATATCACATTCAAGATTTTTATATCTAACCAATCTGTGTCAATATTATTAAAGTTTAAATCAAATTTGGCAAATCCAACCAAAAGTTTGATAGAGACCCTTAAATTATCTGTTACATGTTCAACAGATCAATCAGATCCTTAAATAAACAAAAAGTTCGATAGATACCCCTAAATGACGATTTTAAAAGTTGGTTCCTCAAAATAGGAATCAAGTGAAAGTTGGTTCCATTTTGGTGTAATTTTCCCATTTTTCTATAATTATTTTGCAAGTTGGTTCCCCAAAATAGGAATTAGGTGCAAGTTGGTTCCCCAAAATGACAATTTTGAAAGTTGGTTCCCCAAAATAGRAATCAGGTGAAAGTTGGTTCCCCAAAATGACGATTTTGAAAGTTCGTTCCCCAAAATAGAAATCATGTGAAAGTTGGTTCCATTTTGGTGCAATTTTCCCTTTATTTTTTTGCCTTCCAACTTTTAGCTGATAATTTCTAATTCTGAAATTTTCATATAGGCATGAATAACTAGATCTTTTGAAATTGTATAGTTAAATTTCAACGACTTTTGCTCTTTGTTTCCTCCTCGTCTCCGTCTTGTAGAATTATCTATCATCATCGTCAACGTTAAGGCTCATTTGCGCGTCTAATGATGATATCTTTTTTTTTTCCTTCTCAAAATATCAATGAAGCTTCCAGATCTCCATTTTGGTCCATTCGTCACCGTTTGTTTTTAAATATATATGCCCGTATTCGAATTCTTTGTTGTGCATTTTCCTTCACTTGCCGTCCGACCACGCGATATGACATTTATCTATCAACTGAATCAAACACATGTTCCAAGTCATTTACTTGAAGGTTCATCAAGTATAATGTGACTTTAAGACGTTTGGTTTTATTTCAATATAAATATTATGATTCTTTATTATAGTGTTTAACGCTCCATCTCCAAATTTTATTTTATTGAATGTGGCCAATCACGTTGTCGATGGAAATGATGACCAAACACTAACGACTAATTCGCATCTTCTTTTGTTGTCTATCACTTAATCAACATCAACATGCATCTACTTTTTTGAATGGAGATTTTGTGAAACTGTATATTTTTCAATAATATTTGTTTTGAAGTCATTTATTATAAGTTGGATCAGATTGAAATATCTGAACATATATTCTTATGGTAGTTCAGGATTATGTAACGTTCATTGATGTATGAATATTGAATTTCAAAATAAATAAAAAAAATTACCAACATTTTATATGGATCAAGTGGAAATTAAGTGTATCATTATTTCAAAGATTTCAATATTAATTTTATTATTAAGTTATTCAGTATATTCAATATTCCAACAAATTATGAAATAGATTGTATATAATGATAATACATTTAGGAGTCATTTACCCAAATAATTATCCGAGAAGTACTTACCGATAAGAGTCAACACTTTAATTTACTTTATCGAGTAAGATTGTAGTCCATCAAAACAATATTATATACAACTATTTATCCATTAAACATTTGTTGGATATAAATTTTCATCCTTGTCATCGCTCTTACAAGATTAGATTATCGATCCTTATCAACACTTATTAGGTAATTGTTTTGTAAACCGTCCCTAAACCTAATCTTTGGAACAATAAAAAAATCCTTTGAACATTTAATATTAGAAAGTGTTTTTAAATTTAATGGGTTTTATTATTCCTCATAATTTCTTTATTTTAAAAAAAGTTTTAAATAACAATTTGAAAAAAATTAATCCAAAAACTAGAAAATCTCTGATTTGATTAATTTGTTGAAGATAATCATGTTGATGATGATTGAATGAATTAAAGTAGATGGTAATATTGGTTAAAAATTAAATTTTACATGCGACAATTATAGTAAATAAATATGAATTTTTTTTATTAATTTTTCATATAAAAATTTAGCCATCTATCAATCCAAATTATTTGTAGCAATTTCTGAACTAATTTTTTGATCTCCATAAAAGGAGACGAAAGATCGATACTTTTTCCCCGATTGAACCAATCCATGCCATACGGCATGGGCCTATCAACCATCGGGTGGGACCGCTTTGAGGTCATCATTCATTCATTTGGCCATCCAAAACTATCATATAACAATAGTATCTCTAGAGTAACGTTTGGTAGTTGTTACACACAAATGATTTGAACATGACAGAATTGAACTAGATAAGAGGATAATATGGGACTGCATTGAACAAGTGTATGTCTAGTGTTTAGTACGACAACGACTGGACTAAGCAAGTGTATGTCTAGTGTTTAGTACGACTACGACTGGCCGGGACAAAACTAGACAAGTTACCCCCTAAAATTATTTGATGATTTTAAATATTATATAATAGTTATAATTAACACAAATAAAGTAAATAATTAAAGAATTTAATTTATAAATACTTTTACACAATTTCATATAAATGAATACGTACATATATAATGTTAGCAAATTTGAATGAAATTTTTGATATAATTGTTGGTGGTAGTAGTGGTGGCGTAGGTGGTTTTGGTTATGGTGAAGGTTTTAATGGTCGACGGTAGTGGCGATGAACGGTGGTGGTCAGTGGCCGACAATGGTTATGGAGGTAGAGGCAGTGGTGGTTGGTGGACGACTGTGGCTATAGAGAACGTGAAGATGGTGGATTGTGGTGGTGGTGGTGGTGGCGCTTGACAACGGTGGAGGAGGTAGTTGCGGCTGATGTAGTGAAGAGAGTGGTTGTGGTGGTTATGAACAGTGGTGGTTGATGGTCAACGGTGGTTGTAGAGGTCATGGAGGAGGTATGTTGCAGTAGAGAAGGAGTTGAAGGTGGCCAACAGTGGTAATGGTGGTGGCAATGGATGCTGGTGGTCGGTGGTGGTTGTAGAGAAGGCATTAGACAGTGGTGGT